CAAAGAGAATAGAAGGACGGATGTGCTAGAGATATTCTTTAAGCCTAATGAACAAAGAAACTCAGACTGCGCGTGTGCTGACAGAAAACCAATAAAAGTAGGACAGGTGCATCATAGGTGCACCTCCCTGTGGCAATAAAGTGTTGTTAACCCCATGGTTTCTCCGGCTGAAGTCCGTCTGGCGGTATGGCAACTCCTCGTGCATTTTTTCGTTTGGGCCGCTCACCTCCTAGAAGCCCATGTCAGCCTCCCTCGGCTGACACTCACAAACTTTTATTTTGGTGCTGACACTCACAAACTTTTATTTTGGTGGATCAGACAAAGTCAGGGGGCTTTGAGGAGTCATCTAGTGTCCCCTGGCTGTTAGGGCAGCTGTGCACAGACTAGCATTAGCAGGCATCACACCTCCTAATAGGAACTTTGAGAGACTTACTTCTAAGGAAATTTGATTTTAGAAGGTAACACATCAAGTAACAGTTTCAGGAGTTTAACATTATAGCAAGCCTAAGTACAGCACTAAAGACAAAATAGAGTCTGAGGATTCTGATACAACTTCAAAATGACTCAAGTCTGCAGACCTTAATTAATAAAGAGAATAAAACAAATCTCTGAACATAAGGTTGAATGCAAGATGGCAAAATGTTGAAAAGATTAAAAATTCACAAAATATCTCATAGACTTGTTAAAAGTACTAGTAATCCTTACTTAAGATTGTTTATTCCTAAATTGTTTTATTTGATTAAAAACAAATACAAATATGATTTGTAAATATTTTGTATTTCTCTGAAGCTCTGTACATACTGTTAAACAAAAATTATTTGGGTAAATAGTCACAATTATTCTGAATACTGAAAACATTTATAAGGAAGCAAGATGGATAAATAAAATGACCTTAGCTAGAATCTTGTGGTTCAATCCAAGTAAGTTTATCAACAGAAATAGAGAAATTGAGTTTATCATCAGCCTTCAAAAAAACGTTACAACTTTCACAGGTGTCTTTTTAAAACATATTTGTCTCCGTGCTTTAATACCTTCCAAGTATTTTTCCTATGGCAAAATCCTGGTAATTTTTCAAGGCTATGCTCCTCTGTTTTGAGTCCCTAATGCTTTCCTAAAATCCTCTTGCCTCTCCTGGTATAGTTTTTCTGCACTCATTCATTTGACATTGTTCTGTTTCCACTTTGCCGTTTATTGTCTGTTATATCTTTAGTTTTACCTAGATTTGAAATTTCTTTTCCTTCAGTGCAAGAGAGGGAATCCCTAATTTCTATAGCAAAAGCCTTGCCTAACAAGTCAAACTGTAATTTGAAATGATTGGCTGGATGTTGCAATGCTGCAGGAAGTAGCATGAGTTGGGCTGTGTCAGTGGCTATTTGCATTCTTATCTGTTTAGCTCATGGAGGGTTTTTCTTTAAAGAAAGTGAATGTTATTTTCCAAAGGAAAGAGATGAGCTTGGGAGATGAGCAGGTTAATGGCAGAAACTGCCAGTTAGACACAGAATGAAAGTTCAGTTCTGCTACTCAGTGTATAAATTTCAGTAATTTCCTCATGAAATTGGAAATGAACAGACTTTCTGAGTGTAGCTGGATTCTCTTTAAACCAAATCTCATCGAGCTTCTTAATATGAAAGCAAAGATCCTATCTTACTGCAAACTGTAAAGAGAAGCCTAGCCCTTTCCTGTGATGCTGGGAAAGCAACATCGGCTACGTCTCATCACGACACATCCTCCAAATCCTGTTAGGGAACGACCGCCTTTTTGAGAGAACTCCCACCCTTTCTGTCTGCTCTCACACCTCTCTTGGTTTTCTTTTATGCGGTTCCTTTTCAAATGGCAGCTCTCTTCTCTGGAACCCTCTAAATTCACAGTTGGTCCACTCATCTGTGTCTCTCCAATCCATGTGAAGCAGTTTTCCCTTCTCTTGTCTCCAAATCCTCTACTGAGGCTTTACCTCAGCACTCAACTCCGCAGAACAAAGCTGAATCAAGCATCTTGTGAGGTAGCTTGAGGGAAGCAAATGAATTGTCCTCTTTAGCAAGCAGAATGGGGCAATGTGAATGCTTAGACATGTCTGTATCCTGTTACATTTCATCCCTCTTGATTCTGTTTCCTCATCTAAAATGATAATAATTGAACAGTACATACCTTCTAGGAATGTTATTAGGATTTTCAGTATAAAACACTTTATGATTGTCACATTAAAAGGGATCAATAAATACTAGTTTTGTGGTAGCGTGGTCAGTAGCTTCCACGGATTTAGTGGACACTTCTGATAATTAAATCATGCCTTTACTTGACCTACTAAGATTGCCCTACCGATAAATTTTAGTAACTTTGTGAAAGTCATTTTTGTTCTTTGTTTAGAGGTTACTTCCATGCTTCTAGGTTCTTGGTTTTTAACTGGACACCTGAAGATTTAGCCCAAACAATTTTCTAAGCCAAGTATATGAGCATGATTTCCCAAATGAAATAAACAAATTCAAGAAATCAATTCACTTGTGCCTCCCTTTACAATCTGAATTTTCTTACAATTAAAAGTAATTGTTTTAGCATGAATTAAATACCTCAAACACAAATGACTCCTTTTAGAAGGTATGAGAGCTCTGATATTCATTAGCCCTTATATTTTGGAGAGGTTATTCAATCTCTTATAGTTAATAGACTGAATCATAATTTTCTGTCTTAGCATGCCCCCAACCCTGTGTATATTTAAGTTGGTTACATGGAGAAATGCTTCAATTTATAGATTGCTAGCATACTTCATTATAACATGTAGTCTAATTTACTAACCTAGATTGTGCATTCAGAACAACCAAATTTCTAATCATTTCTGTCAATTGAATCAAAATGGCTAACTCAGTAAATTTTTGTCGACTCAGTGACCATAGCTTTACATCCTTTGATAAAGTGAGCAAAGATGAAGTGTTGTGCAATATGTAGAAACCCCCAGAATTAACAGTGCTTTCTCTACATTGCATGTGTGCCAGAATGAAAAGGTCATATGTAAGAATATGAAATAAATAGTTCTATATTTCCTTTTTCTATTTCAGAAGAGATTTAGTCCAATTTCATGGCTTGTACAGCTTCATGATTATGCTTGATAGATGATATATTTGATCATATTGCAAATACAGTTTCTCTATACTGATAACCTGTAATGAAACATCATTTTCTTCTAAATGAAAAGAACTAAATATATCTTCCATTCTAATTACTAGAGTACTTTAATAAAGCATGAAATCTATGATCCAGGTATAGAGATTATACAATCTCTACAAAAACAAAAAACTCTATAGTAGAAATTTTCTATAGCCCAATATTTGATTATTTAAAAAAATTGTTGTAGCTCTAAAAAATATATAACTTGAAATCCTAATTTTATTTTTTCCACTTGTGATATGACATGAACTTGTTTAAGTAAAATATACTAAAAAAGTGAGAAATTACACCTAATGCTAATAAATAAAACAAATGTTGCTTAAATATCTCTTTAAAGAATGAGAACAATTTTGCTATTTTTAAGCAATTGTTCTAGGCAGTATTAAAGTTATATATATTAAGTGGAAACCCGTAATCTTTAGACACATTTGTTTCAAATAAACCAAAAGCACTAAGACCAATAAGAGGAAATTTTGTTCATTTTGGCTGTGTCATTGATACACATTATACATTAATTATATTTTAATTAAAAATATATATATCAAGGAAACATGAACAATGATCTAAATTCAAGCTTATTTTTATTGCTTAAATCTTGATTAAGTTACCCAGACTTAAAACCCTCATATATTTTGTCTTAAAATCTTTCAAAATTACCTTGAATGGTATTTGAAAAAAGCAAGAAAAGTTTGTCAGTTTTTAGTTGCATGTCAACATCAAATTGTCCATGTAATGATTGAATTTATTAATCTGTTCTCTCACCATAAGTCAATTACTTATCTGCCTTCTGTAAATGATACTCTCCTTCTCTAAAGACTTTAATTCTATGAAAAGTGACCATGCATGACATCGCAAGACATTGAATTGTGTGTTGCAAAAGAAGCAAAGCACTGAAGAGCCCAAGTAATGGACTAAGTAGCGTATAAAACCCATTAACAAGTGTTTCTTGGCACTGGCTCCATGTTGAATAGAGTATTATTCCAGTCAACCCTGGACTTTCAGACAACAAATTAGGAAAGGAAATTTTGGCACAGGAAATATGAATGTTATAGTCTCATTTCTGAAAATCAGATTCTGGCCTCTGGTTTGATATCTGAGATAGCATATATCAAAGAGGTGAAGATAATGGGTTTTCAGTTTGATTTATTTGGTTTTGACTCTTAGTTCTGTGACTTAAGCAATATTGAACAAATTGCCTGAAGTTCTAAGTTTCCTTGTCTGCAATTTAATACACATGTAAAAGATCAAAAGTAATGCAAGTATTAGTGTTAATATATAAAGCATTTAGTATTAGTAAGTAAGATAGTATACATACAAAAGCTAAAAAGTAAGTAGCTAGTATTTATGTATTACTATGTGTTTATTAAATGTGTATACATTTTTTCCTTCGAATCGCTTTCTTCTAGGTATTTGTTGCATGTTGCGTTTCCTAGAAGCAGACTCAGAGATCAGAGTTCAGGAAGTTTATTAGATAGTACAGTCAGAATCAGCACCTATAGAGGAAAGGGTGGAAACAGGACTGGCATTTGGGCAGGAGTGAAGTCACAAGGTTGCAGTCACCTCCATGGGGAGCTTGGTAGCTGGGATTGCCCTTCAGGGTTGTCTTTCATGGTGGTGAGGGAGCTGGGTCTCCCTACTGTCTTTTCTACCAATCACTGGATATAGAATTCAAAGGAAGGAGACATGACCTTGAACGACACAGCTCTCTTCAACCAAGAGCAATTCCCTGAAATGACTTACGGTTGAGCATTGCCTTGAGGCACCATTCCCAGCAGACAGAATGAATCTTCCTTAAGGGGATCCAAGCAGCAAATCACAGCATCCATTAAAATAGTGTAATTCCTCATAGGAATTCTGGTGCTTGTTCAAAAACTAAATATGTTTCTACTGTTTTGTTTGTTTGTTTGTTTGTTTGTTTAGGGACTATCAATGGCAGTACCTCTTTTGGAATCGACCAAAGAAAGGTAAGATTGCTTTTAACAGATGTCGCAGAATTCCTGGAATGAACTCTTTGACCATTTGCTGTCCTGTTTGCATGTATTGGGCTTGGATGTGGGTTTACAAACATTTTTTAGAACATTTTAGATAGCTGTATGCTGAGTTGTTGATGTTGACGGATCAGCAACACAACTAAAATGGACCTTGTAAAGTAAATGAAAGAAAAGGAAACTTGCAGGTAATTAAAGTAATAAAGTAGAGGAAATAGCATTATTGAGCCTAGAGCAGAAACTTTGCTTAGGTTTTGAGACCAGAGATGGGTCATCTCCATCGTGCGCAGAAAGAATAAAAATGGCTGTTTTTTTTTTTTTTACTAACAAGTGGAAATTTAGTAACAATAAGGTAGATTGTGTGTGCACAGGGCCAAATAATGGAACAAACCAAAAGCCCTAGTTTAGTTTTTAAATTGATTTGGTTGTAGTGTTTCAGCAACATTAACAGAAAAGGAATTTGTTGGAAGAATAGTTGTTTAAAAAATTCCCCCCACCCCCACATTCCAAGAAGGAGCTGGAAAACCAAGCCACAGGGCGTCTTTCATGGACTCCGTGGAAGGAGTTTGTGATCACTCTCTATCACGAGGACAGCCATTAATGTCATTTAGTGATCATAAATCCTAACATAGTATTTCCTACTTTCAAATTTCAGTTCATCAGGAGTGATTGGGACTGTTTCAGATTCAGTAGGTGTCCGTTCCTAGATCAAGTAGTTGTAGACAATGGCTAACATCATGTCATGTTCCTGTGGAACCTTTTTTGTGGTAAATGGTGTGGAAGGGAGATGGGGTTCCCAGAAAGCGGAGACTCCATCTTAGTCATCATTTGTTAAGTAACAAAATAACTGTTGACCAAATTGGAACTGTATTCTGCTTATTTTATGCAAGCAGAGATCAAAGGTATGTGTGGGTGTGCGTGTGTGGTATAATCTAGAAACAAGTGAGGAGAAGTTTAAATGTATACTAAGATAAATTCTCATCTGTTTGGAATCATTTAAAATATGTTTATTTACTAAATCAAGAAAACTATGTGATATATATGATTATACTGGACCTGAAATGAAAGAAAATTTATTTCCCAAATAAAAGAATAAAGTGTGAATATATATTTGTGTGTACGCACATGTGTGTATGTGTACATATATTCCAGTATATATTTTTAATTACAGAATAGCATTGTTTTCAACTGTTCAAATTATAATAGAGCTTAGATGTTTCAGTAATTTAGTTGGTAATGTATCCATATCCTTCATTATCTTACTGCCTGCCATATTGGGCTAGTAGCTGTGTCAGGTTGATCAAGTATAAATATGGTCTTAATTTAGAAATTAGAAGCGCAGGAATTTGGTAGCTGGCTAACGGTGCCAATGAAAATCCGTATCTAAAATATAAATATATTTTTAAAGCAGCTGTTGATCTTCTTAACCTATAGCAAATGCTTAGTCTGACTATAAATTCTAGTCCAAAAATAAATTCACATGTTTCAGTATGCTCTCGACTATAGAAAAATATATGACAGAATATTTTCTTTAATTAGTAAGTCAATTAGACATTGATATAACACTGTATCACCATTGCAAGTTTTATTGTCACCATTCTGGCATAACAAGCCTGCATGATTCCTTATATGTTGTAACAGTTTTTGGTTTATTATTTGGAATTAATTTCTGAAATAGCTTAGACAGGCTAAGCATGCAGCCTGCCGTTTTTCTAAATCTGATAGGATGGAATAATAAGTCACTGAAATATTCTAGGGCTGTATTACAGGCTTCAGTGATCACAGGCGTCTATGATTCACTCCCAAAGCAAAGTTTCTCTCCTAATATGTGTGATGTATTACTTTTTATTGGCAATTTTCATATCTGAGTCGGTGACCCTGTCATTTGTTTTTATTGTTATTGTTTCCTTTTTGTGGAGAAGATAAAGAAAACCAGTTCAGGCCCTCTGGTTGTTTATGTGTGCAGCTGGTTACTAGCGCTGCCGCCCTTCTATGCTGGGTTCCTTTCTTGCCAATCTTTTCTTGGATACCTGATTTCCGAGCAGATGCTCTTTTTAATCTTCATCTCATGTTAATTTAAAATATTTATTCATCAAATGTTTCCAGTCTACAGTAAACTAGGAACTGGTTTTTATGTTGCGTTCATAGTACTCATTGGATTGTTGTCTTATAATTTATATGTCTGCCTCCTTCAAAGGATAGTTAGCGCAAAGAGGACACACCTTGTGATTTTGTCATCGGTACAGAACCAGAGTGTAAGCACTGAACTTAACGTGTTCTAAACACCCAACAGGTTTTGACTGAAGAAATAAGCAACGGCAGAACATGACTGCAGAATTGGAATCTTAGTAGATAGAAATTCAAGAAATTAAGACAGCAGAGAATGGAATGGGTACTATACTATTGGCTTGGAGAAGATGACATAAAAAAGAAAGTTACCATTTTGGGGACCCAGGGTCTACCTATTCTTTCTCTGTCTCTTTAGATGCGTCTGACCAGACTGTGCATTATGACACACAGAACAATTAAAGTCACTGGAGGTCAGCATTCTCTGTCTTTTTAATTCTTCAAGAATGTCCATCCACATTCATATTTGACCTAATATGTTTTGCTCTTTTTCCATGGTTCTCTCTGTTCTCCTGACTCTGAGCTCTTAATTCTATAGCTTGTTCAAGCCTAGCTCCTTATCTGGTAATAACTTTGATATCTTTTATTCAGCTTCCTGAATTTATTTCTCATCCTCCTACACCCAGTCTATTCTAGCTTTCCTTGTGTTTTTTTCTTCATTCTTTTAGTTTTAGCAAATGCACAACTCAAGTAAAAGATTGTCTCTGAGTAGCCACTTCACGTCTCTAGATTTATTTTCATACTGGAAGGCCAGGGAGAGGGCTCCAATGATCGTATGTAACTGTGCTATCGGTATATTTAAAGCCTGGGGCCTGCATTCCTGTGAAACGGATCCCATATGTGTTTCTTTTTCTCCAAAACCGTGGTATGTATGGTCCGTATTGATGAACAGTCCCTAACATTTTTGTGTCAAATCAGTAAGATAAGTCTTCAAAAGTACAGGAAGGATCAAAAAAGATGATGAATACAGAACCATACTTTTAGGCAAATCTCGTCAGTTTAATCCTCACAATAAAAGTTAAAGACAAATGTTATTGACAATTTTATAGCAAAAAAAAAAAAGTGGTACAGAGAAGTCAGTCCATTTACTTAAAATTACACAGCCGTAAAGGGGAGGATCAGGGTTCAAAGTTAGTCCTTTTGACTCTGGAGTTTATACTTTTTTCTCTAAATCACTACTTGTTTGAAGGACTTTGAAAAAAATGATACTGAATTATAGTAGACCCGGCGATAACACTTTGTTTCATGCTGTGTCAAATGACTACCTTTGTGATTTACAAAACAACATGACATAACTGTCATATAGTCATTTTAAAATATTTTTAAAGTCACCACAAAATTGCTTTTCATAATTTTCATTGTGAATAATGGCAAAGACATTAACTCTTGAAGTGTTAAATTATATGTATACCCATGCTGTGTGTATATTCGTGTAAAATCTATTTTATGTAAAATAGATAATACACAGATGTAATACATTTCAAATGCTATTGTTTTTGCTAGATTAAACTGTCATCTGTTCTAATAACACGAAACTCTTACTTCACTGCAGTATCACAAACAGCTACACTGTTTTCCTGACAAGCTGTATTTTTATTTTATGCTGCATTTTTGAAACTTCAAAAATTGATGCCAGTTCTTTTCAAGACAATGTGTTCAACACAGTGGGGAAAACATTTTTTCTGGTTTTTTTTTTTTTTTTTTTGGTAGCATGAGTAGAAGAATTCCAGGTGATAGGTTTTATCTCTACTTATAACTCAGAAGCTTTCAGAATTCCTTGAAAGTGATGCAGACATGTTAGATTTCAGTCAAAAATTGTCTTATGAATGCATTCATAGTTTGGAAGTATATGTTCTTGCTTATAATTCAGGTTTTTAAATGTTGTAATTGCTGCTTCAAGTCTTTTGAAAAAATCTCTTATGTTTATGTATGCATGAATACATACATGTGCACATATAGGTAATTACAGTGTATTTTATTCTGGGCAAAGTAGGGTTTGCAGTTCATTTTATAGAGACTTTACTTTTTTTTTTAACTTTCTACTTCTTTTCAATTTGGCTGTTTAGATTAAAAATCATCACTGCCTTTGCTTTTGTGACTCAGTATATGCCTATGTTAGATTAATAATCCAAATGCAAACTGAAAAGGTACTGAATTATGAACATAAGTAGAGACTACATGAAATTAAAAATGGATAGTTACAAAAATATACATTACTTTTCATTAACATCTCTAAGTGTATTAAACAAATATGTAATCATCTATTTATTTGTATGTATGCATATATATGTACATACACACGTATCTACATATATATACAATAACTATGAGGAATGCTAATATTTATCAAGCAATTACCATGTGACTGATACAAACACAGATTGTGAGGAGTCAGAAGTCTATGTAATTTGGAAAATTAGAAAGAAAAAAATACAAAGTGAAAAATATAAAGTATGAAAGTGAATATTTACTTAGAATAAGAAATTAAACCATTACTAGTTACATAACTTAAAAATATCAAACCAATACATAAAAGGTGCCAAATTCAGAAAAATAATATTAAAATATCTCTAAAATTTGATCTTTTGTACTTTTATATTATTTGATCATCTCTTTATTAAACAATGATTTGTCATTAATTTTTTAAATAGAATAAAAAGATAATTCAGTCTTTCTACTAGGTTGGTAATTTTTTTTTTTTGACTAATAGTTTCAAAACAATTCTCTTAGCCTCACAATCTGTCTGAGGTGATGCCGTGTAACTTTTTGGATTATTGTTAAATTTAAGAAAACTTTTATCAAGTTTCTTTCATATATTATTATAAGACAAGAGTATTTCAGGTATTCTTTTGAAGTGACTCATCTTCAATACTTTGAATTGACAATACTCATTAAACAATTTGTCATTCATGTCTCCTCACCGCAGTGGCTTATTATGAATATGTTATTTTTGTCAATATCAGTATTTCGTGTCAAATCAGTAAAAATTTAAATCTTTTCCAATGTGGAAAATCTTTGTTAATTAGATGATTAAATTATTCAAGACTACATTACTTCTATTCAAAATGTATCTTCCACTTAATGAATTGCTGACATTAGAATGATCTAAAAAATTACATTTCACTCCATTGTTAGAATAATTTCTACTGACTTTATATAACATATGCAGAATTTTTTTTATTGTATAGGTCATTTATAATTGTATATCATGTTTTATCAAATGCACTTTTGACAGGAGAAAAAAATCTATTTAGCATCTGAAAACCTGAGTTCTTTGCTTAGAATTGTACATGTTTGGTGATTGGAAAAATTAACCCACTGATTTGCTTTTGGTTTTGGATGTTTCAGTTCTCATTTTCCCCTCATTCTCTACATGTCTCTGTTGCATTCAGAGAACATTTTCCATATTAGGACTCAATCTCTGGCCCTGCTTCTTTAGGACAAAATTCTGGGTTAGTTTTCAGAGTTAGCAGTAGCAGCAGTCTTCTGGGAAGCCACTTCTACATTTTCGTGACTAACATATCTGCCGTGACTTTTGTGACTAACAATATCTGACAATACAGAAAATGACTACAGACCACAGAATTATGTCCCTGGGACTCAGACACAGTACAACCCAACCCAACATCTCCCAATGGTGGTTGTCACTTCCATGCTGTCATAGAGAAGAGAAAGTATGAGGAATGAGGAGACTGAATGGGAAGTCTCTGGTCTTCATTAATTATAGGTAAACTTTTGTTTCAAAATTTCCAAATCATAACCATTGGAACACGTTGCCAAGGCCTCTTTAAGGGACTTGATGTGTACTAATTTTCATGATAACGTTACCTCTGGTGCTCTTTCATATAAATTATTTGACCCAAGAATGATACCTACATTTGAGGTGTAAATGATTTTAGTCTCTAAAATGAGAGGAGAAAACTGAGAAAGGGATGAAAAAATGTCTGAGGATTACAGCTAGAACCTAGGCAACTTGACTCCTAAGTTCACTGTCCTGTCTTTTTCTTTTTATTTGGATAGAAAAGATAACTTTAGAAGACATCAGCGCCTGTGATTGATCTTGCTTCTGATCAGCTAACCCCGTGACAGTGTTAAGCTTCATTTAGATTTGTATTCTCTTTACTCACGTAAAAACTGAACGGTGTGTAAGGCCTGAGCTTGGCCTTATTCTAAGGCAACCCTTTTTATCTTTAACAGGAATAACAACGAGATGAGTGGCAGACACAAAGCTAATTCAATGAATATCATGATCAACATTAAGATACGTTTTGGTATAAAGCAATATAAATAAAGGAATTATAGCTACTTGCATCAACACACATAAACCTACTGAAGATAATATTCATCATTAAAAGGAAATTGCAGAAGTTTGTACACAGTATGATTCTTTTTATATAAAGTTCAAAGTATACAGTGTGTGGGTTTGTGTGTGTGTGTGTGTGTGGTGTGTACATGTGAAGAAAACAAGAAATGAAAATGATAATCACAAAATTCAGGGTAGTAGTTACCTTAGATGGTATGGGTGGTGGGGTTAGGGGAACAGAATCACAGAGGGCACAAAGGGAATCCCAGAGTTATTGGTAGTAGAACACACTGGTAGAACACATTTTATTGTTCTTTGTTATGCCTTTGAAATATATTTAAGTATCTTAGCTATTAAATATTTAATGAAAGCAATCAACACATTTCAATGCGATCTGAAATAACCGGGTAGGTGGTGAAACAGTTTCAGGATGGGAAAGACCAAGCCAAAAACATGTCGACAGGAGTTGAAGGACTGGGTTAAAGCTGGAGGCTTGAAAACAAAGTATTCAGGCTGGACATTGTTATTCTGGGGATGGCCTAATGGAAAAGCACATCTAAATGTAGGTCAGAATTTATGAGTGTGGACTCATTGAAAAGGCCAAGTGAGGTAAAAACATCCATGGCCAGTGTCCCAGTTGAGTCAAAGATCCTCAGTGCTGAGTGAAATCAGAAGGGCTCTATGATTAGAGCGTCGGAGTGGCAAGTGTTTGAGGGCAATCTAGGGAGCGAGAGGGTTGATGCTGCCGTGTTTGTTAGCATTGCAGCCTTTTCCAGCAGATGTATGTCAGACGTTTACTGTTAGCCAGAGATTGGGCTAGGCCCTGTACTGCGATACTGAGGAAACGGCCACGTGGATACTGTGATTTTCAAAAGCACGACCTCTTGCCCTTCAGGGAACATGCTTCATAAGAGATGGAGAATAAGATAAAAATCCAGTTTCTGAAATACTGGGGCAGATAAAAGAAATCCAACTTGGCAAAATTGAGTTATAGTCTAGAGATCCCAATTATAGAGGAGTCACTATTAATAACAGCAATTGCGGATTAGGAATTTAAGCTAGAATTGTTATTTATTGGTGAAGTAGAGAGAAGGTTAAAGAAAGAAACAATAGCAAGGTGATAATTAAAGAAGGAAAACCTCAGTATTGAGTTTATAAACAGAAGAAGAGATGATTTTTGTCTGGGGTTAAAACGCAGTAGAGTGAGTTGCCATGTAAGACGTGTAGGAATGAGGCAGTTTTCTTTGATAAGAGTAGCTGGACTACTTACATATTTTGTGTGTAGCAGTGAGGGTGGGGGTGGGGGAGCTGAGAGAGTGTTACAACAGTGAATTGAAACCATCTTGTTTTAAATGATGTAAAACTTTGAATTCAAGTTAAGAAAAGTTAACTTTATAGGTGTCATAAGTGAAGAGATCAACTTAGCAATTTTTCATGTAAAATGACCTTGATATTTTAAATGGACCACAAGTTAAAACCGGAATTTTATTCATAAGACAATGAAATCAGGTCCACAACGCCAGTAGTCACGTCTGCCTCTGTGATGCCATAGATTATTCTTTCCTTATGACTATTCTTATAGGAGCTTTTTTGTTTACGTTTGTTGGTGCAACAAATGTTCGTCTTATTCAGTAGTGTGTGAGGCTATTATAATAATCTAGCACAGTTTCTGGTACATAATTTTGCTAATATTTCTTTGCACTTTCCTGTGCTCTCTTCTTTCTCTGTCTGGCTCTGTGCCCAAGGGGGCTGATCTTTACAGATTGTGTCAGTGAACATTCTGCTTCTGGCTTCTAGTTGCATTTAACCAATAAGAGGTATCAACAGGAGATGAGAAGGCATGAAGGTAGATGGACAGGTCATTCAATTTCTTAACTTCCTCCAACTGCGCCACTTTGGTCTCTACCACAATCCACAGCTCCTGCCAAACAACCCTCTCCTAAAACTAACACTGAGCTCACTGGGTGATGGTAACCACTCCCTCCCCTTGCCCCTTCAGGCCCAAGGGAGGTAAGAGCTCTCTGCTGCAAGTCCCAGAGGGCTTCACGGACTCTTGTTGGTTACCCAGAAAGCTGCCCACACTTTGTAACAGTCCCCTTTAAACTCGCCTCAGTTACTCTTTTGACAGTGACATCTAAGTCTTTCCAGGGCCCTATTTGTTACACAAAATAACTACAAGTTATTATTTGAACAAAGCTCACTTTTAAGACTAAATGAAATTATCTGCCTTGGTTGACCCACCCCTGAGGTAGTTTGGTTCTGGAGGTTGATTTCCATAGGAAAGATGTATAGTGTGGTAGGTGGGGGAATGGACCCCAGACCCCCTGACTGACACACCGAAAGCACAGACAAAACTTTACTTGTTTAACTTTATATTTCCCTTGATAAAAGGCAAAATATTTTAATGACTGTAATTATCCAGTGATCAAATAGGCATCCTCTAAGGTAATGCACACCCTTTCACCGGAAATGTTCAAGCAAAGGCCTGAGGACCATTGTCAGGGCTGTCTGAAGAGCAGTCCCATGCTAGCTACAAGGTGAACTTCCTGAGTTCCCAGATCTCTTATTACTCTGAGTTGTTTTTATTTTAAGGGACCGTTTGCATGTTCTCCTGTAACACAATACAGAAGTGTGTGAACATGCTCCTAATAAACCTAATCTTGATGTTTTACCGCTTGAGCCTTTTAAGCACAAAATCCAACTCCTGGGTTACGCATTTGCAAAGTTAGAGATAGTGCAGTACCGCGTTCTTTTCCATACCATTTTTATTCTTAAAAATTTCGTAGAATATATCAGTATTAGTATGTAGAAACCAAGAGGTGGAAGATACTTGGAAATTTGCAGGTATTGAAGGAAAAGGGAGAAGAAAAAACCTAATGTTTTTGTCATATTGTAACAAAGTCAGTGGTTTCATATCTTGGTTTTAAATATTTATCAGATTAATAGTGATTTTCTAAAATTTGGATTTTAATTATGTTTAACTTTTTCTTTTCTTTAAAATATGGACTCATTTGGCCTTGTAACTAACTCTTTAAACTCCAAATACCAAATCCAAGAAACATAGAATTCAACGTATCTTTGAACAAGTATATTTCTAACCTAATGATTTAGGAAGGAATCTTGCCTTCTCTTGCTGTCAAAAGCAGCATTCCTTTTTCTGGGTTTAGGCGGTGAACTTATGCAAGAATTCAATATCACCTAAATCACTGGGGCATGCTGCCATCAAGTTGAAAATCATATTTTATACAGTGGTGTTTTCTTTCAAAAAAAATGAGAAAACAGTGAACTTACCTTACATTATGGGGAGAGTACTGAGAAATGCTATCAAGCAAGAAGATCAGGATCTGTCTAGTTGCAGTTAGAAAACCTATCAACCTCTTAGACATCCTCGGTGTCAAAAATGAGGGCATGTAGACTGCTTTACTTCTAGAGATAGGGTGAATCTTTTCACTGGATGGTTCCCTTTGCCTTCATGAAATCCAGGTCTGAGGTGTCTGGAATTGCAACCTTATAAAACTGAAGTATCTCTTTCATTACTTAACTCAGAGTCCCTGACAGTCTTGTGTGACTTGTTCTCTGTGAGTGCTAATTTATGATTGGTGTTCTGATGGAAAGCTGTCAGGTGGCCTTCTTTCTCTCCACTTCCTGTGCATTGATTTATTGGTAGGAAGGAGATGCAATTGCAGTGGCAACTTTTTTTCCATTTAGGCTTCTCAGGTATACTGCACACAATTTCCAATGATTAAACAGAATGCAGTTGACAGACGGCTGGCTGGCAAGCTTTCATTACTGAATCATGAAGAGGAGATGACACAGTTTTTAATGGCATTGACTTTTTCCTTCTTGGATATTTAGTTCACAAATGAGTAACATTTTGGCAGCTCCACCCTTTTCCCTACTTGGATATATAAAAAATCTTCTGATTTGTCACCCCAAATGTCAAACCTTGATTGTCAGCTTTAGTTTCAGAGTGATGGACGATCAAAATGAGAGGTCCATTACAAGTTAGGTGTGTTCAGAGAGATGTACAGGCAAAATTTTAAGTACTTACTCAAACTCCACCTGATATTTGTTGGGAATAAATTTTGTGTTTAGTTATTTTCACAGAAGAAAGTGAGTCAGACAGATTTTAACACATGGATAACAAAGGTGGGATTAGTAATAGACCTTATGTCTAGCCCTGTTCCTGAGTCCATTTGTGTTTCTGCCTAAGTGCTTTCACTTACTGGCAGAGCCAGCAAAGGTCTTGGCCTAAGATGGGGAAAGGCAGAATTTAGGGGCACATGTCTATGGCAATTCAATTTGTTTGACTCGAGTCTACGTAATGAAATATGAACCAAGATCATGGGAATTGAATTCAAGGAAAGTGATTCCCTGAGTTTCTGTTGCTGCCTTGATCTTCAGTGCTTAACAAGATTACACAATAAAATTTTAGATATCTAACTCTGAGTAGTTTGGTTTGAAAATTAGAGTTAATGTTTTTGATGCCTTGCAGCTGCCAAATGATCTTCTCAGGCGCCTAGTTACCCACAGAGATTTTAGGCAAGTAGGCCTTATCCTTTTTTTTTTTGCATCAGGGTAGGAATATTGAAAGGCCACTGAAAAATATATTTTTAAATGTACACATTTTAGGAATTATAATTCGACACTGTAATTCAGCTCAGACTTTCTAGGCATCTGACATAGCAAGTTCTCTGCTAGGTATGGAAACAGAGGATAACAACTTTAACCAGGTACATAGTTTTTTTTTTTTTCCCTTAAGGAAGGCATTAGTATTTGTAGTGTAAAAGGGAGTGCTGTCCGTTTTATAATAAATACATAACCCAAATGCTTATTATCAAAAAAGAGAAACATTATTTCCACATATCCACACACCAACTCTCTCAAACCCACTTTTTTTTTTCTGTGAGTATCAAGGAAAATTCCACAGAGAAAATAGACTTGAGCTGAACCTTAGAAAAATAAGAACAGTCCTGACTTGACAGTAAAGTGATTTTAACCTATGGGAAGGTGACCAGGTTGCAGTGATTGACCGGATTACTCCAACAGTAATATGCATGTGGATGGGTTTGTAAGAGACAAATTTCTCCACATCAGTCCATCCAAAGAGGCATGTGGTTAGCACTGAAGATATTTTATCC